GTATTTTTATGATAAGATACTTGTACTTTTACTCGAGTATCACTTTGTGGTACTTTATAGAACACTGAGTAATATTCCTAAAGGAGACTTTAACTTTTACCAGAGTAGTTTTTTTTGGTAAGATACTTGTACTTTTACTCGAGTATCACTTTGTGGTACTTTATAGAACACTGGCTGAGAGTAATCTTCAACAGATTTTTCTAAGTGTTAACAGATTATACAAAATCTCTAATTAACAATTTGCTATAAACTGTTGGAGTCAACTTTGTTAGTAAAATAAATGATGAAACACTGGATGAACTTTATGAAAGTACTCAATAAATGAACATCTCTCTGTGATGTGGAGCCAACCTCATTAAAGATGGTCACCAGGTTAATAATGACTATAATCAGTCAGTTTTATTGTCATTGTGCTGATGTTATATTTGTGGCAGCAGCTGAGAGTCTTTCACAATCTCTAACATCTTGTAATTTCACAGGTTTCTCATAAAAAGTTTAACCAAAGCAGCTTTTACTGACCTCAGTCTAAATCTGTGAGGGCGGTGTACCTTTAACTTATTTCTAAGTACTTACAGGTATGTTTCCTGGTAAGACGATGACGTAAGCAGGCTCCGCCCAGCCTCGGTGTTCAGCCGCTCGCGCGCGTGTGAACTTGAAGCTGGACAAGTGGAGGCATGGCTGAAAGGTGTGGCTGCGGACAGACCCGCCAGGAGGAGCCTCTCTGCGGCGGAAGGAAACTTTTTTTATTGTTCTTCTGACGATGGCTTCATGACGTCAGCGAGCAGAGGGCAGTGAAGCCGCGCGAGGCGAGTCCCGAGCGAGCTGTGGACTTCTTTGTGTCTGAACCCAGAGGAACCTGCTGTGGTCTCAGCCTGAAGCTCCTGGACTTCACTGTCCTCCGTCAGCAGCCGGAAATGGGACAGACTGACTGAACTGAAGAGGTAACACACACTAACACGCGCACATATTAACACGCGCACATATTAACACGCGCGCACACATTGACTGTCTGTAGATGTGAGGTTCTTCCTTCCTGAAGACTTCATGAGTTCATATGTTCTCCATCTCTGGAGTTAAATGAGTTAATGAGCTGTAAAACTGTCAGTTATCACATCAAAGACAGGAGAGGAGAGTGGCCTTTCTGACATTTATTAAGAAATAAAAACAACTCGAGCACTCTGGTTCTTGCACTGCTAATTAACAGTTTTGACCTTTTTTCCTCATTTTTGAGTTATGAAAAAGATTCGAGATATTTTCTCATCGCTTTTCATATGTTAAAATATTCAGAGTAAAGCTGGAGTATTACTGTACAGTTTGAATACTGAGAACTGACTATTGGAATTAGCTGAAGAAGCTAAAATGGAGATGTTAAAGCTGAAAAAAGGCTAAAAGCTAGAAGCAACATGTTAAATAAAATAAAAAAAGCAAATCACTAACTTAAAGTAAAGCAAAAGTTGAAGAAAAAACATTTGAAACAAATCATCAACAAGTTGAATGGTGACATTTCCATGTGCTTGACATCATTAGGATACAATCTCATATATATATA